CCCCACATTTTGCGCACGACGGGGCGAACGCGAGCGACAGAAGCATGGGACAGTGCGGGTGGGGGAAGTGGCGGGGAGTGGCTGCTTGGGGAGGTGCAGGACCCGTCGCTGGGAGTGACGGACTCACTGGACGATGGAACTTCCGCTTGCAGCACGCTCACCTAAATGTCCCGGGATGGAGCGGAGGCAGGTGGAGGTAGGCGTCAATCGATTCCAGGACAGCGCTTGCACAGCGCGCACCGACGGAGAAGAGAGGCCTGGGAGCCAGGTGCCGAGCGAGGGCACTGGTCCGCCGCCGGCTCTCTATGGGCAATAATTCCTGCGTCGCCGTGGTTTCTGTGATGCGCACGCACGTGGCTGCTTTAGCTGCTGCTTTGCTTGCATCACATTCGTTCGCACTTCTCCTGCTCCTGCTCGCTGCTGCTGCTGCTGCTTCCTCCTCTGCTTTACTTTGTTCATTTTTTTACTTTCTTTTTTTTACTTTTTGGCCTTTTTGTTTCACTTTTTGTGCTTCTCACTCTCTGCAATGCATTCTTTTCAATGGTTTACTTTTTATGCGTACCGTTACGTCTTCACGGTCCAGGTCACGTGGTTTACGTGAATTCGCAGCCTGCATCACTGTTGGCGTGTCCGAAGAAGCAGACAACGTCATTTCACTGTCGTTCCCCGTCACCTGTTCACGGTTGCGCCCTAAACATAACACAGATTTGTTATCAGACAGCAAAAATACAGGAACGAATTAACAATCCGGCTACTCAACGAATCTGGCATGAATCCCTCCCAACAGTTCACTTAGAAGCGCCATTTCCGTGCCGAGGGTTCCGTTCCGCCACTTCGGCACCTTCATTCATTGCAGCGGTAGACTAGATAGAGACGAAGGTCAAGAGGTCAAAACGCCACCGGGTTGCTTGTAAAGCAACGATGGGATGTTATGTGTCGCCATGGCAGGTCGCCCCACCTTGCTGCTGCTTTCTAGTCCATACCGTAAAATACATTTCACCCACATTTAAATGCTAATAAAAGGATTTTTTTTTTCGGGTTATTTACAAAGAATTGAAAAATAATAAAACTGCCTTCAGGGTCCTCGTCATCACAGATTTCTCCTTCTTCTGGGAGCTCGCCATCCTCCATTCCCACCTCCAAATCATCTTCCTCCACCTCTCGCGTCTGGCATTCCACTTCGTTTTCCATTGCTGTTTCGGAAAAATCGAAATCATCGAGAGAACCGGTAGTCATTGCGATATCGACCATTATGCAATCACTTTCACTGATTTTCCTCTCAAAATAGCTTCGTTTAATGTGCAAATTTTGCTTCAGTCCGGGAAAAAACGAACGACGCGAAGGAGCACAATCGCAGCCCAATCATGAAGCACGTCTCGGCTGTTCAATTACAGATAAGAAATGATGGCAGGACTGATCTGGATTAGTGCAATCATGCGACATGGATTCAGAGGACCAACCAATGCAGGAAAAACCCAATGGGTGCTGCTGCTATCACACGCAATCTTTCATATTACTCAAGGCCATTCCCTCATCCTGGACGCGCACATTTGCTCTGTCCAATACCAGTGAACACTGATGTTCTCTCAGGCCACACCATAATATAC